TGAAATAAAATGGGAAGGCAAGACTGGAGAAAAAAGGGTAAAAAGGAATGAACAAAGTCTCCAAGAAATGTGGGACTATGTGAAAAGACCTAATCTACGTTTGATAGGCATACCTGAATGCGATGAAGAGAATGAATCCAAGCTGGAAAATACTCTTCAGGATATTATCTAGGAAAACTTCCCCAACCTAGTAAGGCAGGCAAACATTCAAGTCCAGGTAATAAAGAGAACACCACAAAGATATTCATCAAGAAGAGCAACCCCAAAGCACATAATCATCAGATTCACCAGGGTTGAAATGAAGGAGAAAATACTAAGGGCAGCCAGAGAGAAAGGTCGGGTTACCCACAAAGGGAAGCCCATCAGGCTCACAGATCTCTCAGCAGAAACCCTACAAGCCAGAAGAGAGTGGGGGCCAATATTCAACATCCTTAAAGAATAGAACTTTCAACCCAGAATCTCCTATGCAGCCAAACTAAGCTTCATAAGTGAAGGAAAAATAAAATCCTTTGGGAACATGCAAGTACTCAGAGATTTCATCACCACCACGCCAGCTCAACAAGAGCTCCTGAAAGAGGCTCTACACATATAAAGGAACAACAAGTACCAGCTCAACTAAAGGGCAAAACACCCAGCTAGCACCAAAATGGCACTATCAAATTCGCACATAACAATATTAACCCTAAATATAAATGGACAAAATGCCACAAACAAAAGACACAGACTGGCAAATTGGATAAAAAGCCAAAACCCATTGGTGTGCTGCATCCAGGAAACCCATCTCACATGCAAGGATACACAAAGGCTCAAAATAAAGGGATGGAGGAAGATTTACCAACCAAATGGAGAGCAAAAAAAAGCAGGAGTTGCAATTCTCATCTCTGATAAATTAGACTTTAAACAACAAAGATCATAAGAGACAAAGAAGGACATTACATAATGGTAAAAGGATCAATGAAACAAGAAGAGCTAACGATCCTAAATATATACACACCCAATACAGGAGCACCAAGATATATAAGCAATTTCTTAATGACTTACAAAGAGAGTTAGACTCCCACACAATAATAGTGGGAGACTTAAACATCCTGTTGTCAATATTAGATCAACCAGACAGAAAATCAACAAGGATATCCAGGACTTGAACTCAGACCTGGACCAAGCAAACCTAATAGACATTTACAGAACTCTCCACCCCAAATCCACAGAATATACATTCTTCTCAGCACCACATCACACCTACTCTAAAATTGACCACATAATTGGGAGTAAATCACTCCTCAGCAAATGCAAAAAAACGGAAATCGTAACAAACAGTCTCTCAGACCACAGTGCAATCAAGTTAGAACTCAGAATTCAAAAACTAACCCAGGACCACACAGCTTCATGGAAACTGAACAACTTGCTCTTGAATGTTGACTGGATAAACAATGAAATGAAGGCAGAAATAAAGATGTTCTTCGAAACCAACGAGAATGAAGACACAACATACCAGAATCTCTGGGACACATTTAAAGCAGTCTCTAGAGGAAAATATATAGCAATAAGTGCCCACATGAGAAGCAAGGAGAGATCAAAAATTGACGCCCTATCGTCAAAACTGAAAGAGCTAGAGGAGCAAGATCAAAAAACCTCAAAGTCTAGCAGAAGACAAGAAATAGCTAAGATCAGAGCAGAACTGAAGGAGATAGAGACACAAAAAAACCCTTCAAAAAATCAATAAATCCAGGAGCTGGTTTTTTGAAAAGATCAACAAAATAGACAGACCAATAGCCAGATTAATAAAAGAAAAAAGAGAGAATAACCAAATTGATGCAATAAAAAACGATAAAGGGGATATCACCACAGATTCCAAAGAAATTCAAACCATCATCAGAGATTATTACAAACAACTCTATGCACACAAACTAACAAACCTGGAAGAAATGGATAAATTCCTGGACACTTGCCTCCTGCCAAGCCTAAACCAGGAAGAAGCCAAAACCCTGAACAGACCCATAACAAGGTCTGAAGTTGAGGCAGCAATTAAGAGCTTACCACCCAAAAAAAGCCCAGGTCCAGATGGGTTCACAGCTGAATTCTACCAGACATACAAAGAGGAGCTGGTACCATTTCTTCTGAAATTATTCCAAACAATACAAAAAGAGGGAATTCTTCCCAAATCATTTTATGACACCAACATCATCCTGATTCCAAAACCCGGCAGAGACTCAACAGGAAAAGAAAACTACAGGCCAATATCCATGATGAACATAGATGCAAAAATCTTCAATAAAATACTGACAAGCCGATTGCAACAGCACATCAAAAAGCTTATCCACCATGATCAAGTAGGCTTCATCCCGGGGATGCAAGGCTGGTTCAACATACGCAAGTCTATAAACGTAATTCACCACATAAACAGAACCAAAGACAAAAACCACATGATTATCTCAATTGATGCAGAGAAGGCCTTTGACAAAATTCAACAGCCCTTTATGCTAAAAACACTCAATAAGCTAGGTATCGATAGAACGTATCTCAAAATAATAAAAGCTATTTATGACAAACCAACAGCCAATATCATACTGAATG